CAGCTCCCTGCTTGTGGCCCGGGAAAGCAGTTGAGGACGGCCCACACCCTTGGGACCCTGCACCCGCGTGGGAGACCTGGAAGAAGCTTCTGGCTCCTGGCTTCAGATTGGCTCAGCTCTGGCTGTTGAGGCCGCTTGGGGAGTGAACCATTGGACAGAAGATCTTCCTGTCTCTCCTCCTCTGTATATCTGCCTTTCCAATACAACTAAAGTAAATCATAAAAAAATATGCTGTAGAATACACAAAATTCTAGAGGGAAGAAATTATTAAATGACCTTAGCATAAAGCATTGTTATTTTTGTTTCACTACTTATGCTTTAAAAATGTAGCTAAATGTATAATTTTTAACCACTTAAAATTTTATGCTTTTGTAAAAAATATACTTTTGGTCAGTTCACAGCTTTGGTTGATTATAATATGGTAGAATGACTATTTTTTCACTAATACAAGATTCTGCTGTATAAGGAATCACTTCACTGGACGAGATCTCGAAAGAGGAGCTGGAAGTAAATTCTTAAATTCTGTAATTTTAAAGTCTGAAGGGTACTTATATTGCCATCTTGTCCAATTATTACAACTAAGAAAATGAAGGCCTGGTACAATGGCTTGATTGACTAATTCTCTTCCTTCAAGCATTGGGATTCCATGTGGGTGCTGGTTCATGTCCCAGCTGCTCCACTTCCCATCCAGCTGCCTGCTTGTGGCCTGGGAAGGCAGAGGAGGATGGCCCAAAGCTTTGGGATCCTGCACCAATGTGGAAGACCTGAAGGATGCTCCTGGCTTTGGATTGGCTCAGCTCCAGCAATTGTGTTCACATAAGGAGTGAACCAGTGGACAGAAGATCTTTCTCCCTGTCTCTCCTCCTGTCTGTATATCTGCCTTTCCAATAAACATAAATAAATCTTTGAAAAAAAAAACTAAGACAATGAGATTGTCATAAATTAGTTTGCCCCATATCAAATGCAGAATGTTGAGCTATCACCAGAATCTATATTTAACTCTTATTGCAGAGGTCTTCCACTCCTTGCACCTAATGACATGTGGCAGTGAGGGCTACAAAATAAAATATGGCGTCTGTCCTTGGGGAGCTTAATATTCAAATTAGTTTTGAGGGTTTAAAAGCTGGCAATGCTAACAAATGCAGGGCCACAAAGCTCAAGGGAATTGCTGCAAAAGCTTTATGAGATGTAACCTGGCAGCCTTGGAAGGCCATGCAGCATCTTGCTTTTGGGGCTTCTCTGACTTGGTTGCACCTTTTTGCTTTCTTTGATGAGTAGTTGGTCTTAGGTGTGAAATAACTTTTTTTTTTTTGATTAAAGAGATAATTTAACTAATCAAGTGAACAAGTCATTGTGTACACACTTGTCCACGTATAGATGTGGTCAAAGTTTTTTGTTTGCAAAGTAACTTGAGCAGCCAATGTTGTGACCTAGGGGGTTAAGCTGCCACCTGAAGTGGTTTAAATCCTGATTGCTCCACTTCCAGTCCAGCTCCCTGCTAGTGCTCCTGGTCAGGAAATGGCAAAGGACCAAGCACATGGGTCCCTGTAACCCTGTGAGAGACCCAGAGGAGACTCCCGGCTCCTGCTTTCAGCCAGCTCAGCCCTGTCTGTTGTGGCCATTTGGGACATGATCTAGCTGATGGAAGAGCTTTGTCTTTTCCTGTCTCTGTAATCTGTCTTTCAAATGAATAAATCTTAAAACACACACACACACACATCAAGCAGAACAAAAAAGGAAATGCCTTCCTTTGATTCCCTTTCTAAGTAACCAATGACTTCTTTTGCAAGCAACAGAATGCCTTTGATTCTTTAAGCAAGGGACAGAACACCATGTCCTATATAGCTCTGAGTAGTATAGTATAAAGCTTCTAAGGAACTCCAATACAAGCTAAAGAGATTTTTTTTTCAAAACTAATTCATTTTTACTTAAAAGGCAGATTTTAGAGTGAGAAGGAGAAACAGAGGTCTTCCATCTTCTGGTTCACTTCCCAAATGGATGCATTGTCCAGAGCTGAGATGATCCAAAGTCAGGAGCCAGGAGCTTCTTCCAAGTCTCCCACATGGGTGCAGGACCACTAGCTCACTAAATCACTGTGCTAGCCCCCAGGCTAAAGAGAGTCTATCTGGTAAACGAGAAATGCCACATGGTGCCATTGCTTGCCCATTCTCAAATGAATCTATTTGTCCCCCAAATCCTGATGCAGGAGCCACAGACCCTTCTCTGCTAACCCCAGCTGGCTGAACAATAGGAATATAACCCACGGAGAGCTACTGCAAGGGTTGGCCGGCAATGTCTACATCCTGGTACAGAAAGAAGGCTGAACCAGACTCCCCATGGCAGGATCTGAACAGAAACAAGGGAATCACAGCTGCATGATGCCATGCCACAGGATCAACTTACGTAGCTGTACAGGAGAGAGAGAAAGCAAGCAAAGAGAGGTCCAAGCTGAGACATGCAGTGCTTGAGAGTGTCTAGGGAGCCACCTTTGTCTGTGATGATCTAGCTCAAGTCCAGGTTGACCTTATGGTCTCCTCTCTAGCTGGTCCTAGAAAATCCTCCCTGATGGTAAGCATGCTGAAAACCTTCTACGTGTTGGGCTCTGTGCTAAACATTTCACACAGGGTTCTCCTGAAGCTTTAACACCTCTTGAGACATAGATTTCATTATCCCTGTTTCAGAGATAAGGAAACTGAAGTTCAAGACAGCTACATAATCGATGCCACACTGCTTTATGATGTCAGGACAGCACCGATTTGACTCAAGTCCTTGCTTGTAACCGTTAAACTGCATTAACCTGCATGACACATCATCGCAGGAAAGCCCTGTGTATTTCTTGCACTCAATCCTCTCCTGACACCAACTTGACCTACTTTGAACATCTTTTGCATGTAAGAGCCTGCAACTACTCCAAACCAAGAACGGCCTATTGTGTGTGTACCCTGTGAGAAGGGACGAGCGAAGAGCGCAGAATCAGAAATATCCATCGTCGATACAAACAGAACACATAGCAGTTGACATCACAGGTTTTTGTCTGTGGGCCTGATCCTGCTGCTGAGCACCCTCCAAGCAGCTGCTAAAATACAGGAAGAAGCTAAAGCATGGATCTGCTTCCCCTCAGAGGAAAACTGAGCAGAAACTGGTGATTTCCATCCCATCTGGAATGATTAAGGAAGGTGGGTCCCCCAATTCCTTCCCCACTGCCCCCCTTTTTTTAATCAGTGAGGTTTTTGTGAACTGAGACAGCAAGCACTTGTTACTGCCTGGTAAGCCACAGGGTCTGGGGCTGGATGAGAATAGACATGGGCACCTAGCTCTCAACAATGTTCCCAAGAGAAACCCAGCAGAGACCCCAGCAAGAACTCGGCAGACTTCATTACTGATGAGAGAAGTTATACAGAGCTCTGCTCTAGTTAGAGCCCAGTTAAGGGGTTTCAATATCAAATATGCAGCAGGAAAAGATCAGTCATTTTATACTTTTTAAAAATCAACATCCATTTATGTTCACATCCACAGATGAACCAGAATGCTCATCAAATGGTAGCAATGAAAACCCTAGTAAGATAGGAGTATATGTGGTTAGAATTATGTCTGGGTCCACTCCAAGGATATTGTACCTGTATATGACAGTACCAAGTCTTAGTTCAGAGTGGACACATGAAGAGCCCATTTCTTGGTCTGTCCTTTTTCTTGTCTGGTCTTGACAACTTGTCCTCGGGTACTTCTTCAGCTGCAGAGGTTCTCCCAGGAGCACCTGATGCACCAAGAGCTTCTCCACATGCTGAGATTTTATTTTGGACTTTACCACTGATCCATTTTACTTACCCATTAAAAAAAAAGATTTATTTTTATTGAAGAACAGAAATTTACAGAGAGGAGACAGGAAGATCTTCCATCTGCTGGCTCACTCCCAAAGCTGAGCTGATCTGAAGGCAGGAGCCAGGAGCTTCCTCCAAGTCTCCCACATGGGTGCAGGGTCCCAAGGCTTTGGGCCGTCCTCGACTGCTTTCCCAGACCACAAACAGGGAGCTGGGTGGAAAGTGGCACAGCTGGTACGTGAACCGGTGCCCATAGGGGATCCTGGCATGTGCAAGGCAAGGGAGGATTTAGCCACTGCACTACTGCACCAGGCCCACTCACCTAATTTTGACTCTTAGCAAACAGATTCCCTGTAGGGCTGACCTGGAATTTTATCTGGTATGGAACCGATGAAGGGAAAGAACAGAATGTACAATAGCTGTCCTTTGTACTGTATGCCAGGGCTGAAGATTAGGGTTCCATTTTCCATCATCCTGGAATTGCCCTGTACATTGTTTTTATTCAGCTTTATGAGTTTTTGCCTTATTGGCATGGGAACTGTGTTCATCTTCGGCTGAAGTTCACGTCCCAGCTGGCTACAGTTCCTTACAGAAGGAATCATGGACTCCATCTGCAATATTTTATTCCACAGGTCTTTTTCTTTAGTAACCTCTGTGTCTTCAGCAAATCTTTAAGTAAAACATGTTTAGATGTGACTTAGCACCTTCATCACACCTAAGTATAGGAATCCACTCTCCAGAACATCGTAGCAAATACTTGGATCCATTCAGAAAACGGAGATCAGCATCTCAAAACATTACTAACCAACTCTACGGCCTTTTTGTCAGGAAACAGAGGTGTAAAGTTGAATGTCAAGTTAATACAAGGTAATAAATTAAGCCAGAACTCTGGCTTTGCGGTTTCCAGATCTCCCAAGTTTTTCTATAATGTAAACCTAGATCCCGAGTGCAAAGCTCCTAATCTCAACATCTGGGGCGGTGCCTGCCCTGCCTTGTTTTGCCGCCTTTGGCCTTATCATTGCTTACGAGCTGTGAAGTCATGGCAGCAAACCAGGTCTCGCCCACCTTGCTTATGGCTCCTGATACTACGAAGTCACAGAGCAGATATTTTATAGATGTGACTGTCCTAACGAGCAGCATGTCCAGGCAGAGCCTTCCCAGGAGCAAAGCTAGCTGGGCTAACACCTTTTCCTTGTCGAGGAGGATGGAAGTTGAGCTAAGTGATAAGGGAGAAAAAAATAGATCCCTTCCTTATCACTTCATCAAAAAGTGTCCTAAGTATTCAGAGTTCTTATTCTAACCATCTTGGGATGATTCAGGGGAAATAAGAGAGTACAGGGTTAAATGACTTTAGCTGCCCAACACATGGTTTCTCCACACAGTCTTTCTACTTCAGGCTATAAGCAAAACAACAAATCAAATTGATTTCAGTCAAGTTTCAACAAGAAACCCTCTGCTTTGATTTTTTGCTGTTTTATTTGGCTTTGTATGGATGGAAGCCAAAGATACAGACAGAATTTTGGCAGAAGGAATGTATCGCAAGTTTTTTTTTTTCCCCCCAAGTTTTTAAAGGTTCACTTCTTTGCTTTCAACAGCCTCATTTTGCAAATAAAAAGTTGAGATTTGTAAAGCTGTAAAGGGAAAGGGACTCAAGCCCAGGTGCAAAGTCACTTAGGAACAAAACAAGGCCCGGATGCTCCCAGGTGACTGAATGACCCCCAGGAACAGAACACATGGTGGCCAAGATTCCTAAAAGCAAAAAAAAAGCAGGAACAGCCAGTCGTGATGTATGCATGGTGCAAAGTTCTCAATGATCTACAAAGTTCCTCAATCTACCATCAATGGGCAAGAGCCAGAGGGCGAGATCACACACCCCGTTAGCTCAGGCAAGCTGCATGTCAACACCATTATGACCTCACTGCAGAGGAAGCTGAGAGTCTACTGGCATTTTCTGAAACTTCGTAATGCTTTTGGAAAATGGTGTGATATTGTTGCTGATGATTGTCAAAAATATCAAGAACCAAAAATGGAAAAGCAAGTTCACAGGCTTGGAAAAGATGAGGGAAAACTTGATATACATGAGTCTGAGGTTCAAGCACAAAGTTTAGACTGTCCTGTCACTGCCATACCAACAATTTCTCTGAGATCTTCAGCTTTTCAAGACAGGGCTGAGATCATTTCTCCTAATTTTTAACCAGGACCTTGGGAAAGGCGACTAGCAGTCTGAATGCAAATAAAACAAACGACAAGTTGCACTTAAAGCCAATACAAGAATTGATCTCCTTGCTTTAAAATCAAACTTGTCTTTCACCCAATATTAAACCAAATGTATTAGAAGAATTTAGGAAACCTAGGAAGGTAGTCTTGAGTTATTATATTTCAGCGAAGGCAGCTACATGGCTGTGTGCACGGCCCTCAGCTAGTTCTGAGACAGAAGACAATGACACGAACAGTGGCTTAAGCATTTTCTCCCCTTAACCATCTTACTGATCAAGGAATTAATGAGGTTTTAGTTCAATGCTTCATGCCTCATGCCTCATGATGGGTCTTAAGTTTCAGAGGAGCTTCCTCTGTGCCTGCCTTTACCAAGAGATGTGATATATTATTAATCTGTTACTCAGTGGTAACAGGACAGCAGGACAGCCAGAGACTAAAGCTTGCTTCCCAAGCTCTCTGCAATATTCTAACTTCTGCTTTTATAGCATTTTTGATAAGATGAGGATCCTGGGCTCCTTTCCAATCTCTCTGGGGTTTCAAAATATAGTATTCTGATATTAAGTTCCAAATCCAATGTTTTTAGTTAAACGTAGAGTGCCCCAAATTTCTGGATGTGCTCAATAGCATGGGCGACAGAGCCTTCTCTTGGGATTTCTGTGCTGCCTTGAGCATAGATAACCATGAAGCCACAGAGGTTACAACACTCCCCCTCCACTTCCTTCCCCATACCACTGGTTGGTCTCTAGACCCTCTGTGTTAATGCCCAGGTCAGAGGTTTCCAGGCCAGTTAAAATGGGACCAGGAGGGTCAGGTGGTTGCCCAGATGGGTCACTGTCACCTCCACAGCTTCCACTGTGGCCTGAACGAAGGTGGTCCTTGAGTGTCTGTTTATAGCGGAAGCTCCTGCCACAGTAGGAGCAGGGGTAGGGTCGTTCACCTGTGTGGATGCGCTGGTGTTTCATGAGGTGGTGCTTGCGGATAAAGCTCTTGCCACAGTGAGCACAGCTGAAGGGCCGCTCACCAGTGTGCAGCCGCCGGTGGTTCAGCAAGTGCTCCTTGCGCATGAAGCTCTTACTGCAGTCAGTGCATGGATAAGGGCGCTCACCTGTGTGGATCATCTGGTGGCGGATCAAGGCCGAGTGGCCATTGAAGTCGATGCCACACTGAGGGCAGGAGAAAGGGCGCTCCTGTGCGTGGCCACGCTGATGGAGCAGGAGGCTGATCTTCAGACTGAAGCTTCTGCCACACTGGGTGCAGCGGAAGGGCCTCTCGCTTGCATGAGCACGGCGGTGGCTGGTGAGGCGGGCCTGGTCAGCAAAGCGTTTGGGGCAATCAGGGCAAGGAAAGGGACGCTCAGTGCTATTATGGACCCGCAGGTGGTAGGTGAGTCTGGATGGGTGAGTGAAAGTCCTAGCACAGTGGGGGCATGTGGGGGGCGTCTCCCTGGCACGGTCTTGAGAGCTATTGCTAAGGCTGGCCCTGGGACACTGGGCACAGGCTGAGGGGTGCTCACCAGCGTGGCTACACTGGTGGGTGAGCAGCATGTCTTGGCTGAGACTCTTGCCACAGTGGTGGCACGAAAACACCTGTTCCCCAACTGGAGGTGGAAGAGGGTAGCTACCCAACTGAGTAAAAGTCACTTGTCCCTCAGAGGCTTCAGGCAGGTCAGTGGCTGGATGTCCAAAAGGTGTCATAGACGCAGACTGTTGGTTTTTGAAAGCCACATCTGTAAAAGCATCCTTTGCTGCTGCTGGTGGTGGCAGTGGTGACGAGAAGGTGACTGGAACCTCAGGGCACAAAGCGAGGCCTTCTGCTTTGATGACAAGCTCTTCGTCTGAAAGAAAGGACCCGAGAGTTACACCTAACAACACTTACTTGTCTCACTAGCAGCTCTTGTGCCCTACCCACCTCTGACTGCTCTAAACTCTTAATCTGGTTCAGATAAGAAGCGGTTGTGACATAAACAAGGCATCTGCCCTCTCTGTGCCAAGTCCTGTTGTTAACACTGTACCTCTCTGAGGCTCTTGGTTTAGAAAAAGAAAAATCTTGGCATCAATCTTCCCACAATATTTTCATTATGTTTCACCTCTGCTCACGAATTTCGTGCTGCTGTTGTGACAAGGCTTCCAATCACGTATTTCTCCACTCCAACTTATTCTTACCCTCTCTAGAACCAGCTGTTTTCCCTGTAAATGCTGCACAGGATTCTGCTTCTGCGACTCTGTCCATTCTGCCCTCCCTCTGGTAAGATGCTTCCCCTCTTTCCCCATCTTCCCAGATTATACCTGGCCACATTAGCCCAACCTGAGCTCTAATTCTGGATTAACACTCTTCCTAAGGCCTCATCTGAATCTCCAACATGTCAGCCATCTCATTCACCCTTGACACGGAACAACAGGCATGCCTAGTATTGTTATGTATGTCCTCCATGTAAACTTCTCGAAGGGCAAAAACCACCTTATTTCCAAGAGGCTGGAAGAATTCAGGGCGCAAAAGGCATGAAAAGGTTGCATGGGTTGAGTAAGTGATAAATGATCAAGTGCTTTCTGGCCTTGAGATTTTCTGCTGTAACTCAATTGACAAAATATAGATAGTGCTAAATATCTTGGCAGGTATTTTCGGTTCTTCTCCCTTTGTTTTACCTTTCATTAAAGGGGGGCTTTTAATTAACATCGTGCCCCCCCTAGTGCCATTTTTGTCTTTATTGCTTGTCTCCCTTCATCCCATTCATTTTTGTCCATTCTTTCTACGTGATCTTAAAATGTTCTTCTGCCTTGCCCTATTCTCATACTTTCAGTTCACCTGTATGTACTTGCTTGTCTTTCTCTGACAATTTTAATTTGACTCTGGATTTAAAATTTGTATTAGCAACATTGTCATTTTTTTAAAGATTATTTTTATGGGAAAAGCAGATGTACAGAGAGAGAGAGAAGGAGATGGAAAGATCTTCCATCCACTGGCTCACTCCCCCAAGTGACTGCAATGGCTGGAGCTAAGCTGAGCCAGAGCCAGCAGTCAGGAGCTTCTTCTGGGTCTCCTATGTGGGTGCAGGGTCCCAAGGCTTTAGGCCATCCTCTACTGCTAACCTACGCAAAAACCAGGGAGCTGGGTGGGAAGTGAAGCAGCCAGGATACAAACTGGTGCTCATATAGGATCCTGATGCTTGCAAGGTGAGGAATTAGCCACTGAGCCATCGTGCCAGGCCCTTAGTATTATTTCTGATTTGAGCATATGTGGCTGTTTTTGGTTTTGTTTCTTCCTGACTATTTTCTCACTATTTTTTTTCTTCTGCAAGCCCACGTATTTCACCTGCTACTGCAGTCACTGCTAGCATGGCCCAGATCTGCATGTGAACATGTCTTTAACTGACCACTCACCAGCAAAGGTGTTTTTGTATAGGTCACTCTCCTTGGACTCCTGTGGGGCCCCAACCTGAGGCTCTTCCTCTTGTTTAATCCAAGACAGAATATCTGATGTTGAAATACCAGGCTCTATTTGTGAGGAAAAAGGAGAATGGCCTTCAAGGACTTGAATCTGAAGGTGAGATAATCATGTTGGTTTGTAAAACACTAAGATATTCACACATATTCAATTTTAATTCTCGAAATGAACCAACCTTTAAAAGATGTATATAAACTTCACAGAACTAGTTGAAAACTATATTTACACATTTTACTTGTTCTACTCTACTTCCACTTAAAAACAAGTCATTTTTATTTCAGAGATGACAACCTAAAATTTCCAATTAATATACCTTTAATTTCATTAATACTTTCTAGTAAAGATGTAATGATTTATTTGAAAAGCAGAGTGACAGTGAGAAAGAGAGCGAGAGAGAGACGGATCTTTCACCTGCTGATTCACTCCCCAAATGGCCAGGGCTGGGCTGGGCTGAAGCCAGGAGTCAGGAACTCCATCTGGGTCTCATGGGTAGCAGGGGCCCAGGCACTTGGGTCCTATTCTGCTGCTTTCCCAGGTACATTAGCAGGGAGCTGGATTGGAAGCAAAGAAGCTAAGCTGGAATACGGGAAGCTGGTGGTATTATCAGCAGCCTTAACTCCAGCACCATAACATCTTCCACCTCACCAGTCCTCTTAATATTGAAAATATTTTCACCCTTTTCTCTCATAGGAGAGTTATGCAGGTTCACCACACGGTAGCAGGGGCTCAAACACTGGGCGCCTCCTGCTGCTTTTACCAGGCCATTAGCTGAGAGCTGGACTGGAAGTAGAGCAGCCAGGACATGAACTGACACACGTGACACGGTGGCGTCGAAGGCAGTTAGGCCACGATGCCAGTCCCTCTGACAGGATTTCCTAACAGACATTCAAAATATGAACCTTTCAGTGATCAAAACTGACTTATAAAATATAGTATACTTCCTTTCAATAATTTTCTGAATGAGCTACTGCTCTAGAAATCTCCAAATGAGATTTCAAGTGGTTTTGACTTTTTGTTGGTGTAACATTACAAATTCCGAATCTTATATATTTAATTAGTTGCAATCTATTGCAGTTATCATTTGTATTTTTATTTTTAAAGATTTATTTGTTCTTACTGGAAATGCAGATATACAGAGGGGAGGAGAGACAGAGAGAAAGATCTTTCATTCACTAGTTCACTCTCCAAGTGGTCGCAATTGCCAGAAGTCAGAAGCCAGGAGCTTTTTCTGGGTCTCCCATGCAGGTGCAGGGTCCCCCAAGGCCTTGGGCCGTCCTCAACTGCTTTCCCTGGCCACAAGCAGGGAGCTGGATGGAAGTGGAGCAGCCAGGACAAAAACCAGTGCACATATGGGATCCCAGCAGTTGCAGGGCAAGAATTTAGTAATTAGGCTAGTACACCAGACCCTTTCTTTTTCTTTTTTAAGATTCATTTGAATGACAAAGAGAAATACGGAGAGAGAGAGGGAGAGAGAAGGGGGGGAGAGAGAGAGAAGGAAGGGGGGAAAGAGAGATTATCCATCTGGTTTATTGTTCAAATGGTTACAACAGCTGGGGCTGGAGCAGCTGAAGCCATGAACTCATCCTCATCTCCCATGTCTCTCATGTGGATGGGAACAGAGCAGCTGGGACTGCAGCTGGCACTCCAGTGTGGGATGCTGAAGTCGTAAGCAGTGCTTTAACCTGCTGTGCCGAAGCACTGTCCCCATGATTCCTCTTTCTAATGACCCCCTCTTTGGCCAGTGGGAGCAATACCATGTCCTTTTCACAAACCTCAGATGTCTCATTTCCTTCACTTCCAGGGACAACCCATCCCAGGCTTGTCTCACATTTCCTGCCTCAGGCTGACATTCAGTGATCTCTTTAAACAGTGGAATCTATAATAAATTATATGGCTGAAAACTGTTCATCAGTTATCCCTGCTTCTAGTACTTTCATTGCATAAAGCTAAAACATAATATCTCTGAAGAAAAAAAGTGTTATGAATACATATTAGCATTTGATTCACATTTACAATTCTAGTGTGTAAATCTTGTTTTTACTTTTTTTTTTAAGATTCTGGTTTTATTTATTTGAAAAGTAGAATTATAGAGAGAGATAGAGAAAGAATATGAATGAATCTTCCATGCGCTGATTCACTCCCCAAGTGACTGCAATGGTAGGGGCTGGACCAGGCCTAAGGACTTGGGCCATCTTCTGCTACTTTCCCAGGCACATCAACATGGAAATGGCTTAGAAGTGGCACAGCAGGGACGTGAACTAGTGCCCATCTGAGATGCCAACATCACAGACCACCCTGTAACATTGGTCCCAATTTTATTTTTATAGAATTATTTTTTGTGGGGTCAGCTCAATGGCTCACGTGGCTAATCCTCCACCTCAAATGAGGCAGCCCATATGGGTGCTGGTTTATATCTCAGCTGCTACACTTCTGATGCAGGTCCCTGCTTATGGCTTGGAAAAACAGCAGAGGTTAGCTGAAGTCCTTGGGCCTTTGTATCCACATGGGAGACCCAGAAGAAACTTCTGATTCTTGGCTTTGGATTGGCTCAGCTCTGGTCATTGCAGCCATTTGGGGATTGAACCAGTGGATGGAAACTTCTCTCTGTGTCTCCTCTAACTGCTTTTCAAATAAAAAATATATACATCTTAAAAAAATGATTTATCTTACCAAATAGCTAATGCTTCTGCCAGAATATAACTAATAACCTTTTCCATATGACTTATTTGAAGAGTAGGGAAATTTAGAGGCAGATTCTCCATCTGCCAGGTTACTCCTTCAATACCTCCAAAAAGCAGGGCTGGGCCAAGCTGAAGCCAAGAGGTAGGAACTCACTCTGGGTCTGCCAGTGCGTGGTAGGAACCCCAGCATCCGTACCATGATCCACTGCCTTCCCAGTCACGTGAGGAGGGTCTCAGCAGAGGAGCCAGGACTTCAACTTTCAACGCAGTAGGGGATGTGGCCATCCCACAATGCTTGCCCCTTCAGCCTTAGATGTGAGCTACCGGGGTAGTGACAGCATTTGGCAAGCCAATTCCTAACTGTTGTTACACTAAACATTTTTCACAGTTATTTATATTTGAAAGTCAGATTTACAGAGAGGAGAGACAGAGATGCAGAGTGGAATGTTCCACCTGTTGGTAGCTTAAATGGCGGCAATGGCTGGAGCTGAGCTGATCCAAAGCCAAGAGCCAGGGCTTCTTCCAGGTTTACCACGTGGGAGGCAGGGGCACAAGATCTTGAGCCACCCTCTACTGCTTTCCCAGGCCATAAGCAGAGAGCTTGCTGGGAAGTAGAGCAGCCGGGATACAAGCCTGCGCCCATATGGGATGACAGTGCTTACAGGCAGAGGATTAGCCTGGTGAGCCACTGCATTGGCCCCCTTATATTTAAACAAATGCTTATGATCCACTCAGAATCTACTTTAGACCCAAATGTTTCTAGAAGCCCCTGAGTCCCGTTTATCTTAGACCACTTTTTCCTCCACAAAAGGGGGAGAAGGGGTGGATTCATTTTCTACTTACCCTCGCTGGGGACTGCAGGAATCTCACTTTCCTCTGGCCTTGCCTGATTCTCTGTATTATGCTCTCCTTGTGGCTGAATCTGTGTTAAGACATCAGGCTGATTCATGGCATAGTCTAGGAGAAACCAGAGGGAGAGCGGGGTTGACAAAGAAATACGCATGCCAAGCCTGAGCTCAGTCTGAGATCCAGAGTGCCAGGGACTTTGTGATTCCATGCCATTTCACCCCATCTACCTCCCCAACTAAGGAAAGGAGGTAAGAGAGTCAGTGAGTGAAAAAGCACACGTTCTATTACCACTGCACGTTTGCTTCTCGGGAAATGCAGTGTGCCTCAAGAGGAAGCATCCAAATTCTGTTTCAGTGAAGGATAATCCAGGGAAACTACGTGTCACACCCAGAACTTTATTCTATGTCCTGGCATCTGGCGAAAGGAGAAATCCCTATTTCCTATGTAGCAGCTGTGACTGGGTCAGCTTCAGCTTGCACCAGAGTTAAGTAGTGTGTGGGGACAAGAAAGAAGAATAGATATTGCTTGGAGACCCTGGGAGTTGTCGTCACCTCAAAGGGTGCCAACTCAGCCTCACCCATGGAGATGAGAGATTCGTAGTTGCCCTTCATGATATTCTTATAAAGCTCCTTTTGCCATTCTTCCAGTTTTTCCCACTCTGGAGTGGAGAAGTAGATGGAGACATCGTCAAACGTCACAGGCACCTACAATTACAATCACACACAGATGAGCCTTGCCTGCTGCGATCTGGCCAGGCAGTAAACCTTCCCCTGCCCTCATCTCTTTCAGCACTTTATCTTATAAAAGAGGCGGTAACAAATGTTCTAAATCTCTCTGAAATGACTTGATTCCCATTTGCCATTCATACAATCCTCAATCCGGACACTCATGCAATTCAGCCTACAGCTGGTACAATTTCTTTTTTTCTTTTTTTCTAATACAAAACCTAGATTTTTTTTTTAAAGCTATTATAAAGACAAAACAATTATCAGTTGAAGGACTTTGAGGTTTTATCCCACTTTCACTTGTTCTATTATAGAAAACTAACCTAGACATTGGGAATAGAACAAAACCTAAGAGATTACCATAACATACAAATGCTCCTGGGGACAGGCATGGGGGCCCTGGACACCGCATGTGCTCCAGTGAGAATCCTAATCCAGAGCCATCCACCCAAAACAAGTGGCTCTCGCCAATGTAGAGGGTGCCAGTGCCCAGGCCCTTTCTATTCAGGTGGCCTTGGTGTCCGGCTGCTGGTGCCTCAGGCCCTTGGTGGACTGCGGGGGCAGGAACCCCCTGAGAAGGCTCACAGCAGCGCCCAGTGGGAAGACAGCCACGGACGAGGCAGGAGCCACAGCCCCGTGATTCGTCCCGGAAGCAGGGGCAGGCACCACGGAAAACGGTACCATTCCTTGAGGCACATTCAAGTCTTGTAGCTACATTAATAAAATACGTATGTACTCTTATGAACTGTCTTTTCTCTAACAATATCATTCTCCCGGAAATCTCAGGAATTGCTTTGTCTTATTTCTGCTTCTTCAAGTAGTTTTGCCAAGTACAGAGTTCCCTTTGGGGCTAATCCTCCTCTATGTATGGAGGAAGAGATCCATGATTGATGACTGAAAGCTGATAGGATCGATGTTGGAGGCTTGTTAGGAACTTTAACTAAATTTTAAAATTCATTTTATCTTTGTATATATGTTCATTTTTCTGGAAGCCTTGTTATGTATATATTAAATGAAACCTTTTGCCAATTTTTTTTAAAAGGATTTGCTTATTTTTATTTGAAAGGCACATATACAGAGAGAAGGAGACAGAGAGATCTTCTACCTGTTGGTTCATGTGCTAAATGGCTGCAACAGCTGATGCTGCGCTGATCTGAAGCCAGGAGCTTCTTCACGGCTTTGGGCTACTCCTCACTGCTTTCCAAAGCCACAAGCAGGAAGCTGGATAGGAAGTGGAGAAGCCAGGACACGAACGGGCACCCACATGGGTTTCCTGCATGGATATAGGTCTTAAGACTGGGTCATTCTCCACTGCTTTCCCAGCCAGAGTTCCTGGAGCCTTGATTCCGCCTGGCCCACCTCAGGATTTCACATGGTGTGAGGAGTAAAAAGGCAAAAAATGGATTCTCTTCCTGTCACTGTTTTTTGAATAAGTTTTTTTGTTTTAAAAAAAGAGGCTAAAATATTACATTTTATGGCATACATTTTACCAGATTAAAAGGCAGCTACACAGAGATACAGGGAGAAACAGAGCAAGATTTTCCCTCCGCTGGTTCATCCCCCCTACTGGCCACAAGGGCCAGCTCTGGGCCAGGCCAGGCCAAAGGCCAGGAACGCCACTGGGGTCTCGCAGGTGGGTAACAGGAGACCAGGGACTTGGGGCACCTTCTGTTTTCCCAGGGTGCCAGACTAGATGAAGAGCAGATGGCCTGGAACTGGTGCCCATAATAATTTTATTCGCCTTTATCATTCTTTCAGCAAACACTAAATGTAAATCATCCCAAATCTTATAAAGGGGCTCCAGGTGCACAAAGAAAACACACTGAGGGAAGTTTCTCCATCTGAAACAAACTCGAACACACCTTCCAGCTCCTCCTTCATCCTCTGCTCCTCCCCTCGCAGAAAAACCCTCCCTTTGATTTCTTCGCACTCGTTCTCTGCCCTACTCCATTAGATCCTCTCTCCCTACCACACCTCAAACAACTCTCATCAAACCACCAACGATGTGTGCTACCCAATCATCCTTGAAGTAACACGGCCACCCGCAGGACAGCTCTCTCCCTGACGCAGGTCTCGCTCGGGCCCTGTGCTATCACATACTTGGTTGTTTTTCTCTATCCTGTAGGACGCTCCTTCCTAGTCTCCTGCTGACTTGGAACTTGGACTCTCTTCTGCTTCTCCGCTTCCTCTCCCCGGGTAAATCACTTCCGGTTTGTAACTTAGAACACCATCTCTACCTCAACAACTCCCAAGCATTTATCTTTCTCTTGTGCTTCAGAGTCCACTTAACATCTTCCCTGAATGTATCTCAAATAAACACTGCAAATTAATTTAGCCAACAACCTCACCTCCCCAACATGTTCTTTCCCCTCAAGGAAACTGCCAACACCATCTGTGTACTTCTTCCATCATATAGTTTAAGATTCAGTGATGTGAGGTGGTTAAGAATACATGTGTGGGCCCAGAGCGGTAGCCTAGTGGCTAAATCCTCGCCTTGCATGCACCAGAAGCCCATATGGGTGCCACTTCATGTCCCAGCTGCTCCACTTCCCATCCAGTTCTCTGCTTGTGGCCTGGGAAAGGACTAGAGGATGGCCCAAAGCCTTGGGACCCTGCACACAATGAGAGACCCAGAAGAAGTTTTTGGCTCCTGGCTTCAGCTCAGCTCAGCTCCAGCTGTTGCGGATAGCAGATCTTTCTGTCTCTCTTTCTCTCTGTAAATCTGACTTCTCAATAAAAATAAATTAATTAAATATACATATATATATCTGTATTTGTACTTTAAGATTCAGGCACAACACTGTTATAAGCAATAACGTGGAGACAAAGGTCTTACCCACTTGCCTGTAGCCCTGGACCCTTTGTGCCCTAATTAATCATGTAAAGAATGTCAAAATAAAATCATTACCAAAAAATTATTCATTCTTCAGCTCTCTCCTGAACCTAGGATTTCAGAGTCTCTAGGTATGATATCCATCAATTCAGGACTGAAGAACACTAGCCTGGATGATGTGGCCCTCGCCCGAGTCTGCTCGTTGTGCTTCTGCTCACTAAGGCACACCACGAGCTGGTCTCCTTGCCACACTGTTCCCAACCTGTTTGCGCCTTAGGGTCTCGGCACTGGCTCTGGATTCAGCCTGGAAAGCGTCTTCAGATCTTCTCACAGCTGGGGCTTTTCCCATCATTCACCTTTGGCTTAATAGAAGCTCTTTTGTAAGAACTTCCCTTGACATCCGATTAAAGATAAATCACCAGATGGCAACACAGGCATACCTGCAAACTAGCTGCCTTCAAAGCTGGCTTCCACAGCTTTAGAATAATGTTTACTTCCTTTTCTTTATTAACTATTTCCTCTATGAGCACGGGGTCCTAGCATACTTCTGCAAAGGTGCTAAAGTACAGGATCTGTGAGTGCTAGACCCCTGGGTAATCCCAAACCTCAAATTAACCATTTGACTATATATTTAGTTTGTTCTCCCCCTGACTTCTTTACCAAAATTGACAAATTCAAGTTAACTGATTTAAGCGATAACTCAGTCTCCTTAACAAGTTTCCAGGAACAGGTAGGAAAAAGCAAAAGGGAAGCAAACTGACCACCACATGGCCAACACTGGCTCAGAAGGAATGTTCTGCTAAATGCACACTGGAGAGAGAAGGCTTCCCAAATAGAAAAACATGAAAGACCAGCAGCCTAAGCCACTTCGAGAAATCTGAAAAGGAAATGAATGTAACTGGCTGAGCCATCCCCTGGCACGAAGGCAAGGCCCAGTAGCACCGGTCCACAGTAGAAGCGAGGCTGTTACCTTTGGGATATCTCCTTTAATACCTGGAGGCAGCCGCAGGATCCAGAAGTTCCTGTTTCTTAACAGGTTCTCCAAGTTCTCCAGTCGTCTCTGCAGCAGCCCATACTCTTGCAGCAGGGTCCCCAGAATGGCCCACTTGCCATCCAGCTGGTTCCCAAGCTCTGTCACCATCTTCTCACAGCTGGCTAGCTTCTTTTCTGCTGTCCCCGTCCGGCCTTCCAGGTGCAGGAGTCGCCGGCTGTGGACATCCACCTTCCGTTCTATGGCCTGAACAGCCGCCACCACGGTCCACAGCGAGATGGCTGCTGTCTGCAGGTGCGCCTCACTCGCTGCTGGGGGTGTAGGGAGAGAAAAGGGCTGCAGGGGCGTAAGGCACTCGGAGTCCCACTCAGAGGTCTGTGAAGCAGAGACGGAACAAGACACTGAGCGTTAAAAGGCACACTCACTCCAAACTAAATGCAAATAAGAAAGTCTGAACTGTCGCTAAGGGGAACCCAAATACAGCTTTGGTACTGCCTGCCTCAGTTTCACCTTTCTGGAGTTTATTTCCATCAAAAGCAAACAGTACTCCTTTGATAGCTTTGATCAGTTAGTGCAGCCTGACGGGCCAGTGCTGGGCTGTAGCCGGCTGAACTATACTGCCTGCGATCACCTATGCCAGAAGGCCAGTTCCCGCTGCTCCACTTCTAATCTCAACGCCCTCTCGGATGCCCTGCTGCTCCACTTCTAATCTAGACCCCTCCCTCCTGAAAGGGCTCTGCCACTGATATGGGCTACCTAGACGAAGCTCTGGGGCTCCTGGTTGAGGCCTGGCTCAAGGCCTGGCCTTCACAATCTTTCAGAGAGTGAACCAGCAAATGAATGCTCCCTCTAAGTATCTCCCCCCCTCTTCATCTTTTTAAAGATTTTATTTTTATTATTTATTGGAAAGTCAGATATACAGAGAGGAGGAGAGACAGAGAGGAAATCTTCCGTCCAATGATTCACTCCCCAAGTGAGCGCAACAGCCAGAGCTGCACCAATACGAAGCCAGGAGCCAGGAACTTCTTTCGGGTATCCCACACGGGTGCAGGGTCCCAACTGCCTTCCCAGGCCACAAGCAGGGAGCTGGATAGGAAGTGGAGCAGCTGGGATTAGAACCAGCGCCCATATGGGATTCCAGTGCGTTCAAGGCGAGGACTTTAACAGCTAGGCCACGCCACGGGGCCCTGTACCTTCATCTTTTAAAGAAACAAAATAAATATGTAAAAAAAAAAAAATCTGGCACAATTCCCGATTTGGGCTCAAAGGCTCAGGCTGTTGCCACATCTTTTATCTTTGGAAAAAGCTAAAATGCTCGAGTCCTCGCTGGTTTTACTCAATTCAGTGCCCTGTGACAAAGCCCTTAGAGATGCAATCTGGCCTGTCCACTATCCTGTTTTCAACCACAACCATGTCATGCAGTAATAGCTAAATACGTTGAAAATGTTGAGTCTGGAGGAAATACGACAGATGTTTTCAAATATGTGAGGGTTATAAAACAGAAGGCACAACAGACTTGTTTAATCTTAAGACGTGTTACTCCAAAAGGGAGCAGAACTAGAACCAACATATGGAAATATTCAAACTTTGGCCCATAATAATTACTGAACTAGGTCTTTCCAAGAAATTGCAGGCTGTCACCGACGAATTTACTTTGAAACAAAAGACTGGTCTAGAGCGAAGGGATGTCTACAGGGAGGAGGTGGCACCAAGCAGCATCCACAAAGCTGTTCGTCTGAACTTGATAAAGGTGATCCCCTGGCTGCGGCCTCCTCTCCCACCCAAGGCTCATGCCACGTGGCCTGTAATTCCGGACAGCTCCATTTGACCCTGGTTTTGCCTTCTTTTCTGGTTGATCACTTCAGTTACTCCTCTTCATTCATGTTCTTTTTCTTTTTTTTAAAGATTTATTTACTTTTATTGCAAAGTCAGATATATAGAGAAGAGGAGATACAGAGAGGAAGATCTTCCGTCTGATGATTCACTCTCCAAGTGGCCGCAATGGCCGGAGCTGTGCTGATCTGAAGCCAGGATCCAGGAACCTCCACCAGGTCTCCCATGCGAGTGCAGGGTCCCAAGGCCTTGGGCTGTCCTCGACTGCCTTTCCAGGCTACAAGCAGAGAGGGAGCTGGATGGGAAGTGAGGCCGCCGGGATTAGAACTGGTGCCCATAAGGGATCCCAGCGCGTTCAAGGGAAGAACTTTAGCCACTAGGCCACTGCGCTGGGCCCTCAGGTTCTTCTTGACCCTTGCCCGTTTGCTCAGCTAACTTCCATCCAGCCTTAGATTGACCTGGTGTAAGGAAACCACCTAACTCAACTCTCAGCATCTACCACCAAGGCCTCCAGCCCAGGGAACTCATGCCACCTGCTATGCTTCCACAAAGCACTCACTACCCACTGGCTTCAGCTTGCAGCACACTTAGTCCCAAGTCAACAGGCACAAGAATCATTTGGTGATCTCGCTAACATACAAATCTGAAGTTCTGGGAGGGAAACTGAGATGTTACATGAACCAGCCTCCAGCTGAAGCGGACCCTGCTGATTTAGGGGGCACACAGTGAGTGGTCAGGAATGTCCAGCGGCAGGTGTTTGGCACAGTGGCCCATTCTCCACAGACACATCTGACACCACGGTTCGAGTTCCAGCACTACTTACAACTCCAGCTTCCCACTAACACGAACCCTGATGGGCATCAGGCAAAGGTGAGTTACTCAGGAATCTGCTATCCATACAGGAAACTTGGGTTGAGTTCTGGGTTCCTGCCTGTGGCCTGATCCAGCCCTCGCTATTGCAGGCATTACAGTAATGAATCAGCAGATGAAACGATGTGTCTCTTTGTGCCTTTCAAACAAGTAAAATTAGTTTTCTAAAAAGATTTATTTATTTATTATTGCAAAGGCAGATTTACAGATAGGAGAGACAGAAAGATCTTCCATCCACTGGTTTACTACCCAAGTGCCCACAACGGCTAGAGCTGAGCTGATCTGCAGCCTGGACCCAGGAGTCTCTTCGAGGTCTCCCATGAGGGTCAGGGTCCCAAAACTTTGGGCCATCCTCTACTACTTTCCCAGACCAGCAGGGAGCTGGATGGGAAGAGGAGCAGCTGGGACACAAAGCAAGGCCCCATATGGGATTCCGGTGGTTGCAAAGTGAGGATTTAGCCACTAGGCCAGTACATGGGGCCCAAGGAAAACTAGTTTTAAAAAAGGATTGCTCACCGCAGCCCCTCATGAATTCCTACTTTAAAAAGAAAATTAAAGCAATTAGGCCGAAACACTTCTTCCCACATCGGATTTACCAGTAATTTAATCCAGGCCTTTTGCTTCTTCCCCAAGGGAAAAAGTTGCCTTTTGCTTAAAGCTCATCTCTGTACCTGCCCTCAAGCCAATTCCTTTTCCTTTTTTTTGGGGGGGGGGGTACATTGTTCCTGTTATTTTTAGAGTCCATTTTTTTGCGATTCTTTCTGGTCAGATCCACTTATACTGCTCAACACAGCAGCCACCAGCTGTGCCAGACCACTGAGCTCCTGTCCAACTCAGATGCTCTGTGAGTATAAAACTTACACCTGACTTTGAACACTTGGTTTGGAAAAAAAAATGCAAAATTTCATTAACAATTTTGCAATATTGATTATACGCTGAAATATTTCAATACATTGGGTCACTTTCTTTCTTTTTTTTTTTTTTTAAGTTTTTAAATGTGACTACCGGAGAATTTTAATTTATGTGTAGCTTCCGTTCTATTTCTGTTGAACAGGACCGGTACAGACACAAAAGCATCCCTAGCATCTTTTAAAAACAAAAATGCAAAACAGGCCCAAGGACGGAGAGGGCATTTTTCTGCCTGGCCTTCTCCACTCTGTTCTTGCCTCTCCCCTCACACCTCAGGGGGCCCTTGGGCTCCCGACCTTTAAAATGGCAGTCCCTTGAGGTCGCCTAGGAGTCCTCCGAGGTGGCAAATCCCAGGGATACTTCCAAGTCCTTTCGTTCCTGCTGCTTGGCAATGACCGCGTAGCCGCCCGGTCACCGCAGGGCGCCCGTAACACAGAGAGGCCAGCCCTGCACGGGTCATCCACCCCCCAGCAAGCGAGTCCGAGGGTCCCCGCGGCGCCTGCACGCGCCGGCCAGAGGTTTGGTGACAGTCGCGGGAATGGCTGACGGATGACAACTCCAGCCCCGACCTCGCTGCCCCGTTTCGGCAGCTGTCGCGTGGGGGGCCCCTCTCGGCTGCAGCCCTGCACCTGCGCGGCCTCACACCTGGAGGCCAAGGGGACCGGACGAGCGCTCACCCTCGGCGTTCCGTGCCGCGTCCTCCCATCGCAGCCACTCCGTCCTCCCCTCCCGGTCCCCGGCTGCCGGCGGAGCCCAGGGCGACAGGCGACGTGGCCGGTGGCGCCCGTGCGTCGCCGCTGCCGGTGGCCCTCCCGCCTTCCCGGGGACCCCCAAGGTCCCAGAGACCCTCCCGACTGCCGGGTCACCCTTACCGGAGCCGGGGCCGCCTCGGCCATGGCTGTGCGCTTGCCGGCCGGGGTTGCGGGGGTCGCCTCCGCCGCCGCAGCGCGCGGCCCCCACACAGGCCCGGGGCTGCCTGCTCCTCTCCGGCCCCGCACCGCCTTCCCCGCGCGGACAGGGGGCGGGGGTCGTGCGCGGCTGGCCGGCCTCAGAGCGCGCAGGGAGGTGACCTAGAGCCCAGGCGGGCAGACGACCCGCAGTGTCGGACTGCGACGTCAGAGCAGCTCGGGCCACGCTCCGGCCGCAGCGACCCCTCAGCTGCCGCTTTGTGGGGAGACGCGCCGCAGGCTCGCGCCGTCCGGCCGCAGTGACCAGTGCGCCCCCTGCCGGCCCCCGCGGGCAGCGCCGCCCGGCCGGCCCCGCCCCGCCCCGCCCCGACAGGCCTCACGCCCCGCCCCGCCCGGCCCGGCCCCGCCCCGCCCGGCCCGGCCCCGCCCCGCCCGGCCCGGCCCCGCCCCGCCCCGACAGGCCTCACGCCCCGCCCCGACCCGCCCGCCCGGCCGGCCCCGCCCCGCTCGCCACGCCCCGCCCCGACCGGCCTCACGCCCCGCCCCGCCCGCCCCGTGCGCGCGAGCTTTGCTGTGGAGCTCACGTGAATTCTCTTTTCTCGAACTTACCCGAAGAAGGCTCCACAGATTGTCATTTAAGGCCCGTTCTGGAAAGTGATTTTTCCCCTGGAAGTCCCAGCTGGCAGGCGGCGCCGGAAAGGGAACGCTTCTATGGAACGACCGCCACACTGGCGGCAGCGGGCGAGAGTGCGAGTCAGGTGTGAATCTAGTTGGAGCACACACAGCCGGGAGGCCGAGGAAGACTCGTCATTCGCAGAAACTACAAATGTGAGTGCCTGGGGGAGGCGCATCGCCGTTTGCCTCCTAGTGAAACCAAGTACGGGGAGGAGGGACGCTTGAAAAAATTCATGAGTATGGGGGGGAGTAAGCTGTATAGATTTAAATTTTTTTCTGCACTAAGCTTCCGTTTTTATTGCAAATTTCTAGAATACTCTCCTAATTAGTCTACGACCCCCTTTAGATTTCCTCTCTAGAGAAATCCAGTCTGGAGATCTGTTCTTTGACAAGGCGAGGATGAAGTGTGAAGCGGTTACTTTTGCGTTATTTTGAGGTCAACCCAGTGAGCTTTAATGTAACCAGACAAACCTGCTTTTCTGCTACAATCTTTTTTCTTTTTAAAAATTTTATTTATTTTTTTTATTACAAAGTCAGAGATATACAGAGAGGAGGAGAGACAGAAAGATCTTCCATCTGTTGATTCACTCCCCAAGTGAGTGCAACATCTGGAACTGCGCTGATCCAAAGGCAGGAGCCTGGAACCTCTTCTGTGTCTCCCACGCGGGTGCAGGGTCCCAAGGCTTTGGGCCATCCCCGACTGCTTTCCCAGGTCACAAGCAGGGAGCTGGATGGGAAGTGAGGCCGTCGGGATTAGAACTGGCGCCCATATGGGGTCCCGGTACATTCAAGGGGAGGACTTGAGCCGCTGGGTTACATTACCGGGCCTAACTCCCTCGTTTTTAATACTTTTATATTTTTAATCTTGTCTCAGTCAGACATGACTCATCATAAACGTGCTGTACTTTTGATTATTTTTTCTTCATGGATTTTGAGGCGGCCATATGTGCTCATGTGGGATGTGGGTGTCATAGGCAGGAGCTTAGCCTGCTGCCCCACCATGCCAGCCCCAGAGTGCCTGCCTTTCAGTCCTGGCTCTGCTTCTGGTCCCAACTTCCTGCTGATGGGCACTCTAGAACAGCAGGTGCAGTCTCACTTCATTGGAATGCAGACCCGTGGTATGACAGATGGCAACCTGGCTGCTGCGTTGGACTGCCTCAGCCCTGCCTGCTGCAGGCACTGGAGGAGTGAGGCCGGGACATGGAGTATCTATGCCACTTCCTCTCTTCGCCTTTCAAATAGTTCTTTAGTAGATATTCAAATACCACTAATAAATCCAAATGACATGCATGTTTATTGTATTTGAAGATGATGTCACTGATCTGATGTGATAATGATTATATAATCGCCTGGTAATTATTCACGTTCGGGCATCAGGATGCCACAGATAATGCTGAGTCAGCACCAACTCTTCTGCCAAGTGTGACGTGGCCAGTATTGGTCCCAAAGTCAAACAGCTGTGCATCCCTGCTGCGTGTCTACACTCACCAACTTCTCATTACGATAACTAGATATCTGAGGGAAACTAAGGCTAGAAAAATGTATGTCCGTCCACAGCTCCAAAGCCTCATACTGTAATAAAATATATCTGTTAATTTAGCCTCTATTGAAGATTTTTTTTAAAAGTGATTTATTTATTTGAAAGTCAGAGTTACAGAGAAAGGAGAGACAGATTCTCTGGTCCTTGCTGCAGATGGCCACAGCAGCCGGGAATCCGGAACTGCATCAGGGTTTGACACCAGTGGCAGGGTCCCAAGTGCTTCAGCCGTCTTCCGCTGCTATTCCCATAACAGTATCAGGAAGCTACGCTGGCAGTGCAATACCCAAGACAAAAATTAGAGTCCCAAGGCCACCCTATCCTGGAGGTTAGGTTTTTTGGGGTTATTTTTGTTTGTTTACTTTTATTACAAAGTCAGATATACAGAGAGGAGGAGAGACAGAGAGGAAGATCTTCCGTCCGATGATTCACTCCCCAAGTGAGCGCAATGACCAGTGCTGTGCCGATCCCACATGGGTGCAGGGTCCCAAGGCTTTGGGCCGTCCTCAGCTGCTTTCCCAGGCCACAAGCAGGGAGCTGGAAGGAAAGTGGATCAGTGGGGATTAATCCCGGTGCATGCAAGGTGAGGACTTTAGCCACTAGGCTACTGCTCCAGATGCTGCCTTACGTTTTTCTTGACACTCCCTTTTCCCAACCTCTCTTGGCCAGTATAGATTCTAGTGTCCTGGGCTAGACTGTTTGTGGGAAGGTGTGGGTGGAGATGGGGTGGAGGAGCACAGGGAGCTTCTGTGAGACGAGTCTCCTGAGATTGTGCTCCCTGTTTGTGGCAGTCCTTTGGTTGGAGGTTGAACATCTTCAAAATTTAAAAAATTATGCTTAGCATCAGTTTTCATTAGGAAAATGCAAATTAAAACCACAAGGGTCGAGGCTGGCGTAGTAGTATAGTAAAAAGTTGGAAAGTTGGAATTGCAGAGAGAGAAAGAGATCGTTTTACAATGCCAAGTCCTTTGGGAAAGGGAATATTTTCTAAAGTGTTCATTCTAAATTCAATAAATTGCAGTTTGACGGTTCCTAGAAAAAATATAATTGTTTAAGATTTATTAATTTGAAAGGCAGAGTTACACAGACAGATGGACACAGAAAGGTCTTCCATCTGCTTATTGTTCACTCCCCAAATGGCCACATACCCAGGGCTGGGCTGGGCTGAAGCCAGGTGCTGGAATCCCAGCCAGGTATTTCCTCTGGGCAGCAGGGGCCTCATTCCACGGGGCATGCTCCACTGCTCGCCCAAGCTCATCAGCCGGAAGCTGGATTGGAAACGGAACTGCCAGAAGAGAAAGCAGCACTCATACAGGATTCCATTATAATAGGCAGCCGCTAAGCTAACTGCATCACAACACCAGTGCCAGAAAGATATCTTTTTAATAACATTTCTTCTAGAGACGTTTTTCTGAAACTCAGTATAGAAGAAAGATAACAATATGACCCCAGCCTTCATGTATAAATATTGTATTGTTTATTTCAGATTTAAGGAAATACAGTAATGATACAGATGCTCAGGAACTCATCATTTCCAACTTCCGCTGACCCTCTCAGGGGTCATTCCTAGCTTCACAATGTTTGTTTGCTTACAGTTTTTCTTTTTTTCTTCTTTTTTTTATTATTGGAAAGTCAGATATACAGAGAGGAGGAGAGATAGAGAGGAAAGATTTTGCGTTTGCTAATTCTCTCTCCAAGTGGTTGCAGTGGCCAGAGCTAAGCTAATCCAAAGCCAGGAGCCAGGAGCTTCTTCCAGGTCTCCCACATGGGTACAGGGTCCTAAGGCCTTGGATTGTTCTTAACTGCTTTTCCAGACCACAAACAGGCAGCTGGATGGGAAGCAAGGCCGCTAGGACATGAACCAGTGCACATATGGGATCCTGGCATGTAAGGCAAGGACTTTAGCTGCTAGGCAACCACACTGGGCCCTACAATTTTTATTTTCATACTGGCCTGTTTCTTCGCACATGGTGAAAGGAATGCAGGAGTTATGAGAGGCAGACATCGCAGTCATTGCCATCAGTGGGATTCCCTTTTCTTCTCTGGGAGTGACACGAGACAGTCCTTGAACCCCAGTGTGGAAGGCGTAGTGCTAATGAGAGCGATACTTTTTTTCTCTTTAGATAACCAAGGGACTTTGAGGGCAGAGGAGGAGGGATGCCATTTCGGTGGTCTTCAAGAGCAAGACTTGCGTGCTACCTTATCAGGAAAGGAAAAAAAGAATTCATCTGATCAAAGAACCACCTTACACTCTCCAGGTCTGCAGGAACTAGAGGTTCTAAATCAAAAGCTGAGCCTCCCAGTATCCAGTCAGGCCAAGCAAGCTCCGTGGCCCGAGCCTCCAGATGCTCCAGGTCACTTGGAAGCTCTGCCTGGGTCGGGATGTTATTCTTGCTGTGTCTGCAGGGAAGTCTTTGCGGTGCAGCGCGACCTGGCAGAGCACCAAAGGAGCCACTCCACGAGGCAGCCCTGAAAATATCCAAAGCACAGAGACAGATCCAGAGGGAATTGTGAGCTCCGTCGGAGCCCAGTGTTGCTGTGTGGGAAGAAGCGATTCCAGTGCAGTAAGTGTGAGGAGGGCTACTACCTGAAGCGCAGTCTCCTCACGCACCAGGTTGTCCACGCAGGGCAGCGGCCCTTCCCGTGCCCGCAATGCGGCAAGACCTTCCGGTACAAAGCCGACTTGAAGAAACACCTGTGCCTGCACCAAGGGGAGCGGCCGTTCCGCTGTGCCGAGTGTGGCAAGGGTTTCGTGCAGCAGTGCAAGCTCCAGGAGCACCTCCGGCTGCACAGCAGCGAGAAGCCCTTCCCGTGTTGGAGTGTGGCAGGAGCTCCCGCCGGAGGGGAAGTCTGCAGGTCCACGTCTGGCAGCACAGTGGGAAGAAGCCCTTCCACTGCACCGAGTGCGACCGAAGCTTTCCTCCAAAGGCAGCCTTGCAGACTCACCCGAGGACACACAGTGGAGAGAAGCCGTTTCCGTGTGAGCAGTGTGGGAAGAAGTTCATTTACAGGACGAAGCTCACCGAGCATGTCCGAGTGCACACAGGCGAGAAGCCCTTGCCGTGTCCGGAGTGTAATGAAAGTTTCCGCCAGAAGAGGAGTCTCAAAGCCCATCGATTCCAGCATGACGGGATGAAACCCTTCCAGTGTCTGGAGTGTGGCAGGAGCTTCTCCTGGAGGAGCGCCATGAAGGCCCATGAGCATCTGCACAGCGAGGAGAAGCCGTTCTCCTGCGGGGAGTGTGGCAAGAGGTTTACCCGGCCCTCCAAGCTCACGCGCCACACCAGGCTCCGCAGCCGGCCAAAGGAGTTTCCCTGTGGAGCGTGCAAGAAGGGCTTTGCTCGGCAGTTGAGGCTCACCCAGCACCTCAAGAGCCACAGCTCGGGGAAGCCGTTCTCCTGCGGTGAGTGCAGTTTCTGCCGTTGCTCGCATCTCACCGAGCACATGAGGCTTCCGGGTGGGGAGGAGCCTTGGCAGTGTCCTGAGTGTGACAAGAGCTTCTTCTGGAAGGCCTCCATCAAGTCCCCCCAGCGGATGCACAGGGACGAGAAGCCCTTCGCGTGTAGTGAGTGCAGCAAGACCTACACCCAGCCGTCCCAGCTTGCTGAGCATCTGCGAGTCCACGGTGGAGAGCAGCCCCACCAGGGTCCTGAATGTGATCAAAGCTTCCACCTCAAAGGAAATCTGAAAAGCCACTCGCTCCAGCACCAGTGGCCAAAAGCCATTCTCTTGTGTGAAGTGTGACAAAAGTTTCACGCAGCGGTGCAGGCTCACAGAACACATTCGAGTCCACAGCGGCGAGAAGCCCTTCCAGTGTCCGGAGTGTGACAGGAGCTGCTGCACACGAGGAGGCCTGGAGGCCCATTTGCACACACACAGCGGCGAGAAGCCCTTCCGGTGTCTGCAGTGTGGCAAAGGCTTCCTGCAGAAGAGGAGTCTGGAGACCCATGTGCACCGTCACAGCAGGGAGAGGCCTTTCTCGTGTCAGGAGTGTGGTAGAAGCTTGACGTACACGGGGGGCGCTCAACACCCACGTTGCAGTCCATGCGAGGGCAAAGGCCCCCAGTCTATGAGTCAAGCTACATGGCAGTCACACAGTGACAGCTGTTAGGTGGAACCAGCAGCCGTCTGGGCTCTGAATTCACAGCCCACTGGCCGGGGGCGTGCTGGCCAGATGCGGTCATCAGGAGCTGGTGGCTCCTTGACACAAGTTGCAGATAATCCAAGGTCGGAGAAGTCCTGCCAGTTATGGAAGAAACATTTGACACCAGTTGGGCAGTATAAAGTTTTTCATGACCGTTTGAGAGTGTGATAGTCCCATCGTTAAATCTGGGAGCTGCAGCCTGAATGAAGGGCTACAGACCTCAGCTCCCTCCTCAGCCAGCTTTTCTGTTACCAAGCCACCTTGTCGAAATTTGCATTGCAATCTTCAGTTTGCTCTCGGAGTAGATTCCCATTTCCTCTCCAGCGGTGAGAGAGCGTCTGCTTCTTGGAGGAATTTCTCTGTGTTGCTGAAAATAAGCATTGTCCATCACTCTATATATTTTCTAAAGATTTATTTTATTGCAAGGTCAGATATATATAAATAGAGGAGAGACAGAGAGGAAGATCTTCCATCCGATGATTCACTCCCCACGTGACCATAGCGGCCGGTGCTGTGCTGATCCGAAACCAGAGACAGGAGCTCTTCCGGGTCTCCCATCGGGTGCAGGGTCCCAAGGCTTTGGGCCGTCCTCGACTGCTTTCCCAGGCCACAAACATGGAGCTGGATGGGAAGCAGGACTGCTGGGATTAGAACCGGCGCCCATATGGGATCCCAGCACGTTCAAGGCAAGGACATTTAGCTGCCAGGCCACGGTGCCAGGCCCATGAATTTATTTGTTACAATGATTACCTGCATGTTATTTCCCCATAGACTTTATTAAAACCACCTAAAACAACACTATAGTGAGTCACAATATTTCATCATTCTCAAAAATACTTCCCTTAACTTTAGGGTCTGTGAGGTAAATTAAGAAAAGAAAGTTGTTCATCCATGGCATCATGATTTTTGATACTGTTCTAGCAAGTGTTCATCTGACTCTGGGCCTGTTGATCTTTAGCACTGTTCCTAAAAATTATACAGTAGCTTCCATGAGGAAATCTTCAAGGCCTACATAAATTTTTATGGGCCCCGCGCTGTGGCCTAGCAGCTGAAGTGCTCACCTTGAACACATCGGGATCCCGTATGGGCGCCGGTTCTAATCTTGGCAGCTCCACCTCCCATCCAGTTTCCTGCTTGTGGCCCAGGAAAGCAGTCGAGGACGGCCCAAAGCCTTGGGACCCTGCACCCGCGTGGGAGACCTGGAGCAAGTTCCTGCCTCCTGGCTTTGGATGGGCTCAGTTCTGGTCATTGCACTTACTTGGGGATTGAATCATGGACAGAAGATCTTCCTCTCTGTTGCTTCCCTTCTCTGTATATCTGCCTTTGCAGCAAGAACAACAAAAAGGAATTATGTGTAATCAATGTGTTCATCGTATTTTATATGCTTTCTCAGAATGTACTTTTTTGTACCTGTTTTTACATAAGTCATCGTTTGCTGATTTCTCCTTTTTCTACATTCCACACGTGTCCTCCCCCTTTTTTATGATGTTGGGTTGGCAAGACGTTGACAAAGCAAATATGAGAAATCTCTGTTTCCCTGTGAAACTTGCTCGGTGTGGAGTTCTTTGCTGGTTAGAATCTTAACGCTGTGTTCAGGCAGCCCTTTCCGTCCGTCAGGTGGCATGCTGCCATCTGTGGAATGCCGGAGCACTAAGGTGGATGTTATGTTTAAGAAGTTTAATCCAGTTCGGCAGCTACATACTGTTCGTTTGGCCACACAATAGTTTCATTCCGGGATGGATTTATTATTCGTTTGGGAGATGCTGTGCCCATGTGTATTCGTGTGTGTTTATATTCTGAAGTGTTTGTTTTAAATTATCTTTTGAAAGATTTCTTTATATGATGAATTTTGCTATTTATGTTACTCTCTTATTGCTTCAACAGTGTATTCAGGGATAACTTTGTGATTTGCAGTGAAAAATAATTCTTTCAAATCCACATATTAAAGCAACTTTACTCACTCGGGTCCTAGTTGTGATTTTCACAGACCAGTTCAGTTTGCTCTTTTCCCCCCGTGATATAGTTTCTTAGACTCAGGGATTTCCCTCATCCCTCCCCATTCCTCTCCCCCAGTTATAACAGTGCTTATGGTCCTTCACCTACAGTCACTGGGCGGTCGTCCTTGTATTGAAGTGTATCCTAGCGTTGTAGACATAGACAGTGATGTCAGGTCCATGATTCTATTGTCAAGAAATATTTAAGAGTTTACTCTTGAAATAGATTTACCATGGATACAAGTTTCTTTGCAACAAACATATCTAAAATTTTCCTTTTTTGTTTTTAAAGATTTTTCTTTATTGCAAATTCAGATATACAGAGAGGAAGAGAGACAGAGAAGATCTTCCCTCTGACAGTGCATTGCCCAGGTGACCGCAATGGCTAGAGCTGAGCCAATCCGAAGCCAGGAGCCAGGAATCTTCTCCAGGTCTCCCACACAGGTGCAGGGTCCCAAGGCCTTGGGCTGTCCTTGACTGCTTTCCCAGGCCACAAACAGGGAGCTGGATGGGAAGCAGAGCCGCCGGGATCAAAGCCTGCACCCATATGGGATCCTGGCACGTACAAGGTGAGGACTGCAGCTGCCAGGCCACTGAGCTGGGACCTAAAATGTTGCTTCTTTAAAAATATATCTAATATAGTTGACTATGTAATATAGTTGTCCATCATGTCATGAGTACCAAAATAAGAGAGAGCTAAAGAGTACTAGGAAAAAAATAATAATTGAAAGTGAAGGTTGAATGATGAGGTAGTGACTGGCTATATTAAAGAAAGCAATACAACAATTATGCAAGCAATATAATTGTGAATGCTCAAGTAAAAAATAACTTCTAATTATACCTGTAACATGTGGTTCTACTTACAGACACTGATTACAAATGTCTGATATAATAAGAACTGGTTGGTATTTAAGTTTACCATCGATGCTGGCTTTGTGGTATACAGATAAGCCATCGCCGTGATGCCAGCATCCTCTGAATGTGTAAGCTCAATTCCTGGATGTCCTACTTCTGAAATAGCCCCTGCTGGTGGCCCACGGAAAGGAGGCGGGGATGGAATAAGTGTTTGGACCTCTTCTACTAGTTGGGATTCCTTTTCTTAAAAATGTTAATGTTTATATTGTTTACGTAGTTGAGAGGGATGTGTGCATATGCGTGCCTCCAGTTAGAGTCGGGAGGGTCAAGGCATGGAGGAAGTGGGTGGGACAGTTCAGTTCTTTGTTCTTTGTTTTTTTCTCCTGTTGGTGAGGGGAGAGGAAGAGGGCTGCTCCTTGCTGCCAAGCTACATCAGCATCCAGAGATGGGGGACAGACATTTGATGACGTGTTAGAGACCCTGATGTGGTAAGGAATGTTCCAAGAGTGCTACTTGAGTGGCTTTGATAGTTCTGAGACCTCACTGGCTTTGTTGCTCCAGGGCTGCCATCTTGCCACAGACTGTTGGCTGACCAAGTCCACCTCAGTGCACTCACAGACCCAGACACTTGCTGCAAAAGGATTCCTGAATGAAGCTCCTGGACTTGCTCAGGGTATGTGTTCACCTGGTTAGTGAATCAGTAGATGGAAGATTTCTCTGTATTGTTTTGTTCGCTTAGTAATTTTGGCTTTCAGAAAAAAAAAATGCTTAAACTGAATAGGATTTGCTGTGTAATGGTTGATATTGACTAGCTTTATTAGGTATATTTTAAAAACATTGACAGAGATAAAATCTCCATATACTTTAGATGTTATTCTAAAAATTATTAAAGAAGTCTCAGATCACTGTGATAATAGAAACTGTAGAAGGAATCTTATGTCCCCCAGCCCAGAACCTGTGGTTATATGCACCTGCACCATGCATTCTTTTTTTTTTTTAAGATTTATTTTTATTATTTTTGTATTGGAAAGGCGGATATACAGAGAGGAGAGACAGAGAGGAAGATCTTCCGTCCGATGATTCACTCCCCAAGTAAGCGCAATGGCCGGTGCTATGCCGATCTGAAGCCAGGAGCCAGGGACTTCTTCCGGGTCTCCCATGTGGGTTCAGGGTCCCAAGGTTGGGCTGTCTTCCTCTGCTTTCCCAGGCCACAAGCAGGGAGCTGGATGGGACGTGGAGCTGCCGGGATTAGAACCAGCGCCCATATGGGATCCCAGGGTGTTCAAGGTGAGGACTTTAGCTGCTAGGCCACGCTGCTGGGCCCTGATAAAAATAAATAAATCTTTAAAGAAGAAAGAGAGGAAGGAAGGAAGAAAGTCACATCAGCTTTGTAAGTCTACCCAGATAAACTGTCATACTATATATTTAACGGTTATAAATCAGCCGTACGAATCTCTTGATATCCTAAAACATCCCTTTGGGTACACAAATGAAGCCCATAAGACAAGTATGAAATTTCATGTTGGGTGATGTTAACTGTGCAGCAAAAGCGACCAGACCACCTCAGTGACTGAAGTACAGGAGCATCTTACTGGTTCTCAGTCGAATGAAATGCCTGTGAGGCGCCCCTGTCAGTGGAAACCCACTGCCCCCTGAGCACAGCAAGTCTATGGAGGCCAGGCCTAAGCAGCTTTAAAATGAATCCTTCATTTAGTGTTCAGCTCTTCTTTTGGTCCTAACGTATTAATGGCTATAGGAAAAACAGCAGAAGATCTGAAAACAAAATTGGGGCAATTTTTCCTTCCACATCCTCAGTGGTGGGAAGGTCTTGTGATGTGTTTGGACCTAAAGATAAGGAGGGAGGGACTTTCTGAGAGTCCTTCAAGTCAAAGTTGTCAGGAAACTAGGTCTGCCTTAGAGTTTCACTGACGCAGAGGCATCAGTGACGTGACACACGTTTAGAGGTCTGGACACATGGCAGGACTAAAGTATCAGCACAGCGGTACAGCCTGTGGCTGTGGGAGACTGGGTGGCCTCGTCTGCAGGGACCTTTAAGAGAAATCAGGAAGCCTTGTCGGCC